GCGATTTTTGCCCGCCAGCAGCGAAAATCGCACGGTTTTTGGCCGTTAGCGGTCAAAAATCGGTCGATTTTCGCCGCTACCGGCCAAAAACCGCGCGATATATGCCGCTAGCGGACAAAAATCGACCGATTTTTGCCACTAGCGGCCAAAAAAGTGGCTATTTTCGCCGCTAGCGGACAAAAATCGCGCGAATTTCGCAGCTGGCTGGCAAAAATCGCGCGATTTTCGCCGCTACCGGCCAAAAATCGCGCGATTTTCGCCGCTACCGGCCAAAAACCGCCCGATTTTCGACGCTAGCGGCCAAAAACCATGCGATTTTCGCAGCTGGTGGGCAAAAATCGCGCGATTTTCGCCGCTAGCGGCCAAAAACCGTGCTATTTTCGCAGCTGGCGGGCAAAAATCGCGCGATTTTCGCCGCTACCGGCCAAAAACCATGCGATTTTCGCCGCTAGCGGCCAAAAATCGCGCGATTTTCGCAGGTAGCGGCGAAAAATCGGGCGAATTTTGCCGTTAGAGGGCAAAATTCGCGCGACTTTCGCCGCTAGCGGGCAAAAATCGGGCGATTTTCGGCACGAGCGGGCAAAAATCGGGCGATTTTCGCCGCTAGCGGGCAAAAATTGCGCGATTTTCGCCGCTAGCGGGCAAAAATCGGGCGATTTTCGCCGCTAGCGGCCAAAAACCCCGCGATTTTCGCCACTAGCGGTTAAAAATCGCCCGATTTTTGCCGGTAGCGGCCAAAAATCGGGCGAATTTCGCCGCTAGCGGGGAAAAGTCGCGCGATTTTCGGCGCTAGCGGGCAAAAATCGGGCGATTTTCGCCGCTAGCGGTAAAAAATCGGGTGATTTTTGCCGCTAGCGGCTAAAAATCGGCCGATTTTCGTCGCTAGCTGGCAAAAATCGGGTGATTTTCGCCGCTAGCGGCCAAAAAAGCGCGATTATCGCCGTTAGCGGCCAAAAATCGCCCGATTTTCGCCGCTAGCGGCCACAAATCGGGCGAATTTCGCCGCTAGCGGGAAAAATTTGCGCGATTCTCGCAGCTAGCAGCCAAAAACCGCGCGATTTTCGCCGCTAGCGGGCAAAAATCAGGCGATTTTCGCTACTAGCGGCCAAAAATCGCGCGATTTTCGCAGGTAGCGGCCAGATATCGGGCGATTTTCGCCACTAGCGGCCAAAAATCGCGCGATTTTCGCAGGTAGTGGCCAGAAATCGGACGATTTCGCCACTAGCGGCCAAAAATCGCGCAATTTTCGCCGCTAGCGGCAAAAAATTCCCCGATTTTTGGTCCAATATTGTAGCCCAATTTTGGGCTACAAAGTAGCGAAAGTAGCCCAAATTTGGGCTACAAAGTAGGCCAAAATTGGGCTACAAAGTAGGCCAAAATTGGGCTACAAAGTAGCTCAAAATTGGGCTACAAAGTAGCGAAAGTAGCCCAAAATTGGGCTACAAAGTAGCGAAAGTAGCCCAAAATTGGGCTACAAAATAGCGAAAGTTAGGTTAGGTTAGGTTAGGTTAGTTTAGGTTAGGTTAGGTTAGGTTAGGTTAGGTTCCTCTTAGGTGCCCCTCAATACGGCTCAAAAATCACGCTCAGGAGTCAAATTTCCGACATTTCAGACATTTTGAAAACTGCAGGGGGGTTTGGGCAAAATATGACCCATCGCCGTTTTCAGTAATTGGCATATTTTCGGTATGAAACGTCTTAATTTGAAACTGAAAATAGGTGCAGAGAGTCAGAATTCGGCTCAAAAATTTAATTTTTGTAATTATGTAATTTTTAATGACAATGTGAGGTCTCACTTCAGGCAAGTGTTACAATGTAGGAGGAAAAAAAAAGTGTTGCTAGACAGGTTTTTAGCGAGAAAAACAAGCAGTGATCCACGAGCAGGTCCTAGTGGTATGCAGGCAAAATGTGCCAGTGTGTGTGTACCCCAGAGTCACTGCCTGATGTTATAATGGAAGGGTCGGCCCCTTCCAAACACTAACACCTCTCCTCCTCCTCCCCCCCCCCCCCCCCATCCTTACCATCTTCCATATGCCAACAAAAGTCATCAGTAAAGGTAAGTAATAACTTGTACATACTTTAGTACTGAAGATTTGGGTGAATTAGGTATAAAATTTACTTGAAAGTTAATTTTTTGAGGAGTTTGGAACGGATTAATTCAATTTTATTTTTTATGGGGAAATTCGCTTCAGTTTACGAATATTTGGCTTACGAGCCATCTCTGGGAACAGATTAAATTCGTAAGCTGAGGTACCACTGTACCTGTAACTATTTTGTATCCAGTGATCATATCATCACCTTTTCCTCTATCTTCTTGCTTTGGTCTATTTAACACAATTTAACCTCTCCTCGTAGCTCTTGCTTTTCAGTACTGTATTGGAAGCCATTTAGTTGCATATCTTTTTACCTTTTCCAGTACTTAACTAACAGTAATGGTACTGTACTCCTTTTAGGTGATTTTAACTGTTAGCGTGGCCTTTGGAGCAATGATCTGACAAATAACTGCTTGATGGGGTTCTGGGAGTTGTTCTACTTCCCAAGCTCGGCCCGAGGCCAGGCTTGACTTGTGAGAGCTTGGTCCAACAGACTGTTGGATCCACATATCCACCACAGCCCGGTTGTTCCTGCAATGTTTGTTATACTTCCTAAATACCTGAAGCTGGCTTCTAGAATCTTTTTATCCTCTCTTCTCCACTTGAATTCCTGTGAGCCGACTCATATCGACTAGCACACTCACTTTTTTCTGTATCACTCTCTCTGCTCCTTTGTCATTTACATAGATGTAATGGGGAAGGTCCTCGGTGACTTACATAAGTGACCATTTCTCTATCCTCGTAATCCTTTTTTTCTGTCTGTCCTCATCTCTTTCTCTTGATGGCAGTTTGATAAGGTGGAATGCCATCTTTTCACTCTACCCAACCTATCTGATCTACCTCTCCCTCGAGTGTTCCTCCTTTTTCACAGCATTTTTTTTCTTCTTTTTAGATGCTGCCCTCTACTCTGTTCCTTGCTATGCCTCCTATAGCATGTGGAATTTGGATTCAGTACTTGGGCTGTATGTTGTAAGCATGGAGCCTGGAAGAGAGGCTGACACACCCAAAACTTTCATTTTGTTTTGGAAGGAAAGTGCAGTGGGCTGTAGGGCCCACCCTATAGCTAAACACAAGAGGTGATAATTTTGTCTCTGGCATTATGGTTGATCTTTGTGTTGGTTGTGAACTGGGCTGGCACTTTAAATCTAACTCTGGAACTTATCTTCCTCCCCCTTTCCTTGCTCATATGCTCCTTATTGAATCATGTCCCTTGGAATTTTGCTCTCACCTTCATGTCCCTTTTAATAATTACTTCTCTCTTGGAATGCCTGCCTGTCTTCCGTCCTGCAGTACTATAGCAGCATGGGCTCCGACAGCATTCAATATATGATTCATCATTGCCCCTCAGTGTGCCTTTCAGTATTTGCTGAATATCTATAACCATATTCAGGAGGTGACATCAGTCCCCAAGGACCGACTTGAGCCTTGTGTTCAGGAACAAATGACTACCGACTCCTGTTAGCAGGCCGAGTTTTCCTATCCCTCATGGTACAACCTGTCCTCTTAAAAATAACGTCGCTTTTGGCCGTTTACCCGTATGGTCAAATTTGGACGTAATTTGAAAATTAAAAAAAAAAAAATGAAAATATATTTGGTATTTTTTTTCAACAACAGTAAGTTAAGGGTCCTCTGATAGGTTAGGTGGGCAGGAAATTCTTATAGTTTCAAAACGTTATGAAAAATGTTAATTTAATTAAAAGTGTCCTCTCCTAACCTCTCCGCGTAGGCCGGACGACTCAAACAGAAAACGGAACAGAACGTCACTTTTGTGAGTCGATTTCATTTCAAATTACGTCCAAATTTGGCCATAGCGCGCATACGAGCAAAAAGTGACGTTATTTTTAAGAGGACGGGTTGCATGGTAACAATTGCCCACTAGTTTCCCTTGAATATGACCCTCCAATCGTTTAACAACGAAGTACCCAATCACTGCTGGGTGAACAGAGGTATACAGTTAAGGATAGATGCCTAGTCAATCCTCAGCTAGGATATGATCCTAGGACAAATTGCTCACAAAGTATGGGAAGAGTGTATTACCATTCAGAAACCTAGTTTTCGAGGGACTTTCCCTAAGGAATTTTGTCCCGTTGCCCTGACGAGTTGTTTGCAAGCTGTTTGAACGTGTAGTTAATAACCTGTGTGATTCTTAGAACACCATCACTACCTTTTCCCCACGCAATTCACCTACATTTAGAGGTCTACATTTGTACTGCCTTTATTGCGAATATATGTTATTACCATTGCTTTTGATCTGGAAAAGCTTATGACACCACCTCAAGATAAGATATTTAATCCTAACTGCATGCTTTAAGTTTTTGTTGCAATCTACCACTCTTCCTTCAAAACTTCCTCCACTTTGACTTTTTCAACAATGAGAGCATTACTCATAGTAGCATTCTGAGCACCACTCATTTTTCCTGGTTGTCCTTAATGATATTCCTTCGATCTGGCATTTTCTCAGCCTGTCATGTTGACAATCTCATGCTTTGCTGTTGTGCCAACAACTTCCCTTTCCTCCAACATGCAATTGATAGTGGTGTCTTGGGCCATTGATCATAGCTTCTCTATAACTGAGACTTGTGCTATGACTTACCCTGAAATATGTCATTCTTTGTCCCCACTTATTATGGTAATCCCCTTCTGTATAAAGATCCTGCTAAATTTTGGGATTGATCTTTGACACCCCCATATCTCTTGCCTCCAGGTTGAATGCACTAAGGCCCTGTATTTCCTGGGAAGCTAATATATTTGAAATCTAATTTCAATAATCTAATAACTCTGGTGCTCGTCTTCCTCCTCCTTTCCTTTCCTCCTATCAGAAAATTGATAAAGAAGATATCACTTATCTATCTGCACTCCTGTCATGGAGGAGGAGATGGGGGAAGCTGCCTGGTATAGTAAATAAGTATGTAACTAAACAATCATTTATTTTACACAATACATGACTATGCTGGCAAAAAGACCACCTTTATAAATATAGAAAAGAGATAGTTCATACATACCTCTCTGTAATTTCTGTTTGTTGACAAACCTATGTATTTCACTAGCTACCAATGTACATTCAATATATATTAATGTATTATGTGCATTTGATTTAAGTAAATCACACATGCAACTGAGATAATCTTGCATAATCACCTGTATGCAAGAAACAATTGCTCACAAATATACAGTACGAATCACATTCACCAAAAAAGCTATTCTATTGACTTAGACTAAACAATATAAAACATTTAATGTTGATCAGTAAAGAAAAATTTAATTAAATCCTTCCTCTTCCATCTATGGCTAAAGCAATTCCTGCATGAAACCATCATCTTTTGAGCCCGTGTGACAACATTGACACACATGCTCTATTACCCTCAAGATATCCCCCTACCCCTCAAGAGGTGGTGGGAGGGGGGATACAAAATTTGTGATAGTTTTTACTGATAAGATTCCCATTTTCCTTTCCATGATCAATGCTCAATTTTATATTATTTACTCTAGGGCATTATTTGTTTCTTTCTATTGCCACAAGTACATCGACTGGGACTGTGTTTCAACAAAGAATATAAATAAGTTATAACTAATTTCATTGTACACAATTTGATGCAAAATAATAAATTATTATACCCAAATTACATAAATGTTCAAATTTTCCTGCAAACTGAAATTGAATACCTTGTTAGAAAATAGATATCACATACTGGGACCATAATAATGCAGCTGAGATCATAGATATATGTAGGTTCTTGTTACAATTTGTCTGATTTATAATTGATTTTTTATCACTATACGTGATGTACATAGATAACCTGAGACATGGGCAAATAAATTGATTTACAATTCCCAAAATAATTGACTGCAAAGAAGTGCACAAATGTCAATGGAACAAAGCTTATGCTGTAACTGAACATAACTCATTTGTGAACCTATGATACGCTGGACAAATGAAAATAATACAAAGTGGAATACAATGCGCTTAAACAGCCCCCAATGTCAGTTTATAAGGGTTTCATGTCGTTCTCTAGGCAAGAAAGCTGTAACAATAAGGACACGACTCCGGGCGGCTGCTACGCGCTTTTGCAAGATGACCGTCTCCCTCGCGAGTGCTTCCACAAAAGTGCGATGATCCAGTGGCGAATCCTCCTTTACGTGTACTGTAAGGGAAGGAAAAGCAGGGTTACTTGTACTTATGCTCATCATACCTCTGTATTGTGGTTATACTATATGACTCAATTCTATGCTTTCCATCTTATAAGAAACCTCAAATTTGTGTGTTATAAAGTATGGTGTAAGGGTCAACCAACCCACATCTGGCTACTGCACAATAATAAAAATTTTCTACTGAAACCAATTGCTACACATACTGAATTTCCCAAAAATGAACTAATAAAAATTCTATTATATACTGTACTACCACTAAAGCAAACTACAAAGCTAAACAATAAAATTTAAAGCTGGGGAATACCATTTTCTTTTATTAAAAGAATAAGAGGAAAATTTGTAGAAGGCAGCATTTCTAGAGGTTCAAGTGCTGTCTTGCAAAACAATAGTAACAAATCTACTTCTTTAACACAATAAGAAAACTAATTTAGTATCTACAAAAGTTCACGATTACTAATATATTTGCACAATATGCGTTTCACAAAATTCTACCATTTAAATGAAAATAATGAAAACTTAAATCTACAAAAAAACAAAAGGAGTGCAGTTGCATACGTACATTTGACTTACGTTCGTAGCTCCAGGAGTCAGCAGGAACATTGAGATTTCCCTTGGCCTGTGCCAAGTCAGCTTTCAATGATCTTTGAGCTGATTTCAAAGACAAAATTTGCTGACGAGATGCCCTCAGCTGAGGGATTTTGGCTGCACATGGCCGGCCTTCATATCTTTTCACATCCTCCTCACACCACTCCTCAACCTCTACTTTGGATGGAACACTTAAAACCTGAGGTTTTGGTTGAAGTTGAGGATGTATAAAGGCTTGAGAATGAGCCTGGGCATCTCTTCGCTGTTCTTCATCCATCTCTGAATCCTGAGAAGAGCTGAATGAGGAGCACTCAGAGTCTCGTGGAATACTCTCGTATCCAGAGGACTCCCCCAGGGATGGATTAGTGCCAAGAGATCCACTGTTTGCTGCTGGATGGTGGTGCTGATGTGGCTGGAGATTTTGAGTAGTTCTCCAAGCCTCATTGCTTTCCATAGGTGTAGCACTACCTTGGGTAGCTGCACCGGAATCGTGACCAGAGTCATAACCTTCGGTGGGCGTAGGAGCATCTGGGGGATACATCAACGTGCACGTATACCGATAGTTACCCCTGGTGCTTCCAGCCTGAGGCTTGACTGCACCTACACGGGCAGATTTACCCCAGCGTGTGCGCACTGATACTGTATCACCTCGTCTGCTAACACTTTGCTTAGCTACACTTTGCGAGACCACTCGGGAGGGAGACTTTATCAAGTTTTTTGAATTGCGATCTGGAGATTTAGAACTTTCTCTACTTTTGGTAGGGTTTTTAACTTTGGAATCTTTTATTTTTGCCATATTTTTCTTATTTTCTACTATCTTATTATTATTTTGCTTTGCTACTTTGTAAGGAGTTTTCGATTTACTTTTACCAACGCCTACACAGAGGAATTTGGAAAGTTTAGAAGTTTGCATCATATACTCGGAGTCTTCACTTATATTACTAACACAGTCACTTTCGTTATCACTCTTTCCAGTCACCGTTCGCTCATCATTCACATCTATAACATCATCATCTTTGCTATAATCATATTGTACAGGGTTGCAAAGCACAACATTTGCTTCAACATCTTCTATAAACTCGGGTAATGACACTCCATTTATGGGTACTCTCTCAGCCAGCTTTTCTGTTGAGTCTACCAACTGTGCATCCCTTAAATGTTTCAGACTAGCTTCTGAAGCTTGACGTGTCAGGCAAGGGTCTGATGTTACATCAGGTTTATGCACAGATGAAAAATTGAAAAACATTGAAGGAATATATGGTACAAGATCACTTTGTACATCACAAGTGCAGTGATCTTCATGGAAATCAAGATCATCTGTTCCAATGCACTTATCACTCGCAGAGTCTTCCAATGTTTCCAAAGGTCGGCTTAACCACTGTGATTTACTCCTCAGAGCAGATTCTAGCTTAAGAATGCTGTCACCATGACGTAACTGCTTTTTGTTGCAATGCCGACACAATTTTCCATCAGCCTGTGCAGGTTCACTACATATGCTATCATCTTCTAATGGAGGTTTCTGGTCCTCAAGCAATGAATCATGGCTGTTGGTCAAAATTTCTGCCAATGTAGCAGCTTGAAGTCTTGGACCTCCAGTGTGAACTCTTGGGCTTTGACGTGCAAGCGTTCGATACAAATCATGTATCTTGGCAAGTTCATGAAGATTCTTGTTTGCTACATCTGATTGCAAGGCTAAACTTAGATCTTGGCACACTCGACCATAATCTGTAACCTCAAACAGACTAAAAGGTCTAGAGTCATCGTCATCAGAATCATCTTCATCCCCCGTCTCGCCCATCTGAGAGTATGAATCTGAAAGGTGAAGGGAGAGTTAATGCAGTATGCCCCTCTGATATCTCCAATTTATGTACATTGCTGTATATAATACTTTTTTAATAAACAAATATTTATATTCTTTTCATCTTATGCTTATTTCTAAAATCTTTCACTATAAATACTTAATTCAGGCTTCTTATTCAAGGACATCTGTCATACACTTCAACAAATGCAATAAATAAAACATTAGATATGTTGTGGCTGCATGAGGGTAAATCGAGGAAGGTATCGGGGTGATGTAAATGTAGATTTTCTTATAATCTTTAAATTCTAAACTCAAAAAGGTGAATGCTGCAGATATGTACAGTATAAGGAAAAGAACACGACTAAGAGGGACAACCACCCTTCACTACATGTCTCGGTGATTCCCGCAAACCTCAAGCATTGAATGTAATAAAAACCCTTTTCTGGTGGGGCTCCTCATTAGCTTTCTGAGCTAAGCACTGGTCCAGCCAACCCTTAGGGAGAGCACCGGGCCTCCAAGACCCGGTGCTGCACGAGGGTAAAAACTTGCCTGTTAACCAGGACCAGAATCTGGCAAAAGAAGCTTGGGGGATTAAAGAACCCAAAACCATCCTCTGCTTCATGCTTAAGCTAAGTAATGTTGGCTAGTCTTGAAATATTAATTCTACCAGACGCCATTGTTTTGTTTCTCCTTCACAATCGTGTTTTATGTCACCCACATTGCAGGTGTCCAACCTTTGTATTTCACATTGATGGTCCTTTCTTTCCTTGGTAGCCAGCTTGTATTTTAACAAGTCACCCTGCAACTGAACCATCTGGCAGAGTGGCTGAACACACATGCTTGCCACTGCCAAAATGGAAAGTCAGCAGACAAACAAAACCCAAAAGTTATGGCCACAGCAATGCAGAGGACGAGGAAAACCCAGAAAAGGTGTGACACTTCCAGCAAGCGCTTGTCCCATTCTCTCTTGCAAACCTCTACTTGTTTCAGTAATAGTCTTATACTGTACTGTATTTAGTTAGAAAAGGTTGAAGAACTGTGGGCCTCTAATGTTCATAGTGTTCTCTGGTTGTGCCTATGGCACTTCTACTCTTCTTACCATATATATTGCTCCAATAAGTAATTTTGTTTATATTATGTGATACTGTATCTCATCTCCTTTCTAGAGCACATTTCAAGTGCACTGAGATGGTCCCAGTAATTTAGGTGCTTTACTGTATGCATGCCATGCAAATTCTTTGAGTTCCTTTTATTTCAGAATCCTTTCACTCGAAGGTCCTCATAATCCACCTTGTTATTTTCCTGGCTGATGCCACATTTGCTTTGTAATGCTCACTAAACATTCGGCCATCTAACATTATAATTCTCAGATCACAACTTTGGTTTACTGGTACATTTTACATTCAGTTTGTCCAGATATTGAAAATACTTTACCTATATTCCTTTGGAACTCATTTTAAGGGCTAGTAGTAGTAGGCATCCATCAGTCTAAGAAGACTATGGAGTTGCGCTCTGGTTGTTGGTCTGAAGTGGCCTCTAGAGGGCGCAAAGCCAGGGTAGGTTGATACGGAGGAGAAGCTGTTACCCAGGCAGCAGGTCCCCCCTCTCCATGGTGCAGAAAGTCTCCAATGGAAATGCAAACGCCAATATGATTGGTTCCAGCGCCGTTGCAGGAACTGTGAGTTCCAGGGTTGACCTCGAAGTTGGTGAAAGAAGGCACAGAGACTCCAAACCCGGAGACCGCCGTGGTCGGGGCCGGAGATAATTACTATGGGTTTCTGTGAGTACTCCTAATATTGAATTCAACTTAATTAGCATGAGATGAGCAGATGTGAACAACAGTGTGATGATGCAATAGTACTGGTATTGGGCACACACTTCTTTCTTGGAACATCTACATAGAGAATGACATACACACAGCAACAGTAAGGAAAGAGACGCAGCAAAGTGGGAAACACTGAAGCGAGTGCCAAAGCCAAGTCAGTTACAAGCGTGCACATCATGCATCCAACAGGGCACATTGCGCTGTCTAAGTTTAAACTGACAACTAAGAGAGAACACTGTACAAAAGGATATATAGATTTCTGGATGAAAGCCAAGTCAACTTAAGTGTTGATTGGTCATCGCCTGCCAAAATTGACAGATCTTCTTGAGGTTATCTTGAGATGATTTCGGGGCTTTTTAGTGTTCCCGCGGCCCGGTCCTCGACCAGGCCTCCACCCCCAGGAAGCAGCTTGTGACAGCTGACTAACACCCAGGTACCTATTTTACTGCTAGGTAACAGGGGCATAGGGTGAAAGAAACTCTGCCCAATGTTTCTCGCCGGCGCCTGGGATCGAACCCAGGACCACAGGATCACAAGTCCAGCGTGCTGTCCGCTCAGCTGACCGGCTTCCCCCCCCTCCCCCCCCCGGATACACACACAGAATATGAATAGCTCTTTTTCTTGGAACCTGCAGTTGCAATTATCTGGTGGCTGGTAATGCCAAGAGGACTATCAAAGTCAGAGTTTTATAAACTGCACTATCCTAGGGGCCTGACAGCCGAGTGGACAGTGCTTGGAATTCGTAGTCCTGAAGTTCCGGGTTCGATCCCCGGTGGAGGCAGAAAACAAATATGTGGAGTTTCTTTCATCCTGATGTCCCTGTTACCTAGCAGTAAATAGGTACCTGGGAGTTAGACAGCTGCTACAGGCTGCTTCCTGGGGGTATGTAACAAAAAGAAAACTTTGTCGAGGACCGGGACGCGGAGACGCTAAGCCCCAAAATCATCTCAAGATAACCTCAAGAAGATCCTGGTGGTCATTTTGGGGATGGACTGAGTGAGCTCCATTGACCCACTGTGATAATAATTCTAGGTCACCTGGCCTGACTTCACAATCCTGCTCTATTGACATATTGGATTTACTTTAGGAAGCAACCAAATGTGGGAGCTCAGAAATGTCTGCCAATTGACCGTACAAGAAATACATCTAGAAGTACCTACACTATCCACCCACTTTCACACAAAGGACAAATACAGTATGACTACTATATTCTAAGATACAACCTTGATTCAATGAACTATATGGGACCAACCCCAATTTGTTGCAGTGAAGGATTTGTTGCAACCAGATATGACTCGAATAGGCATTTCCCATGCCTTTTGGGTTAAATTTCACTTGGCAAAATGTTAATTTCAACCTATAATATAATACACAATTACTAAATGAACATGTCTGTAAAAAAAAAAATGTAACCACATCTAGTTTATTTTTCACGTCTCCAGCCTCAAACTCATTTTCAAAAGGTAGCAGGACCATACCTGAGTGAACAAAAACCTTGCTAACTTAAAATGAAAAACCATAGAATTTGGTGTTCAACATTCTCAACAGCTTTCTCAAGGCTCCAACTATTTCTTGTAATGTTGAGTCCATCTACAAAAATCATCACAAATGTGATTGGAGCCTTATTAAGAGTTCATACCACAATATTTCCCATACTCAATAGGCTGATTTCACTGAGTGAAATTTTAATTCCAATCCATCACATGAAGGACAGGTTGAACTACCAAGAGAACCAGCCTATAAAGACACTTAACTGTACTGTAGTAGCATATTTCCCGCACCTTGAAATCTCATTTTCAAAAGGAAAAAGGACTCATTCGTGAACAAAAACCCAGGGAATCTCAAAATTAAATGAACCATATAATTTGGTTTTAAATACTGTATGCTCATTGGCTTTCCCCAAGGCCCCTTACTATGTCATGTAATGTTGCACCCATCCATGAAAATCATTAAAAATGTGATTGGAGGCATATTAAGAGTTAAACTAAAAACATTCACACTAAAAAAAATGAAAACAAAACATCCAACATCACAAATATTCCAAAACAAAAAAAAAAAAAAGAAAAAAAACACGTCCAACAAAACAACACTAAAATACCCAACCAAAAAAAATGTCAAGCCTCCCAACCAGAGATTCCCCAAATTAAGGTTCCACTGTACATGATATACGGAACAAACTACTGTATGGCTATTTTTTTTTATAAATGAATTTATAGTGTCTTGTAACAAACGGGAATTCATTTACATATTACGTATATTTTTTTCCATACATATTATTGCCAACAAGAAACTTACCAGTAAATGTAGAAGCACATGTGAGATTTTCTTCCGATAACACCCTTAGTGGATGATCGTCGCTCGTTTCCACACTCATCACCTCACTCTGACACGGTGTGTCAGCTAAGGCTCTGACAATATCTTCCTCGCAAACCTGAGGAATCCGATAAGACTGAAATTTAATCCTTGCAATACATATATATATGAAATAGTTGATGTTCAAGACATCCATATAAACAATATGCATTAAGGATTACACCTAAATAATAATTCCTAGAAAACGTGAGGATAGCAAATGTTTAATTGCAAGAATTTTTTCCTGGTCATGTGCAAGAAATCACAAAGAAACTGGATAATTGTATGAACTTATTATTCTTTAACACTTCCTGGGGAGATACTGAAGAACATAAACATGTTTCCTGCACTTATGTACAGCATGTTTAGTGATATGTGTAAACAAGATGCAAACTGAAATGTGAAGAACTAATAAGTAAAGTATAGTATATCTGAAGGCTATGGTTAAGAGGGTTCAATTAATTAGAAAACCATAATTTTTTGGAATAACACACACCTGCACACAACAATCAACAGTCACCGCAGGATAATCTGGGACCTGCACCTCAATCAATTCAGTGGAGTGATGTGTCCCTGAGGAAGCCACTGATCGTCTCACCCATCCTCTTCTTGGCGTTGTGCTCATCCCATCACCTTCAAGACCGGCTGCTTCTAAATCCTCCTGCTCTTCCTTGTCTTGATCTTCAGCTGTTATGGCCGCTTCTAACTCTGGTTCTTCTAAGACTGTTGCTGTTTATAGAAAAAAAATAATATTAATGGCAAAACAGTTATAGGTCAACCCTAAGAGCAAGTACTTGTATGTACAGTATTTGGGCCACATTGAGGGAAACTGCATTATACAAGATAAGATTGACAGATATAGTATATAGATGATGCTGCTTTGCAAAGATTAAAGAAGAGTGAATAGAAGTCAATAGAAGTTAAAAGTTGACTGATGCTTCCAAATGTAACCAGTGTGATTGGGGCCAAGTATAACCGGGTACCTGGATATGACCATATACCTGGAGGTGGTGGATATGGACTTTGGGGAACAAATGAGTGGCATAGCTCAGAATGAATGTTGAATTTCTCAGTACATTATAATTCCCCCTTTTATCAGGGACAGGAAGCCTGTACTTAGGCTTGTATCGAAGTCACCTTAGGCCGAACTACTGACCTTCCCCAGGATGCAACCCACAGCAGTTTCCTAACTCCCTGGCACCTATTTGCTGCTAGGTGCAGAGGCATCAGGTGAAAGGACCACAATATTTATTCTTTAATGTTGTCGAGGACAGAAAGTCTGTACTATACTTAGCCTTCTTGAGGTCCCCCCTAAGTCAACTCTACTGACCAGTTGCAGGTATGATGAAAGCGTAGGGTAGGAAGCGTAAATTGCAAGATCAAGGAAAATTTATCAAGATGGTCTGGGCATGGATGATATAGTGAAGAAAGTTTATTCAAGTGAATTTTAGGGGTGGAGAGAAAGGGCAAGAAGATGGGTAGATATGGAGAGTTTGATTGATTACACAATGGAACATTACTTCTGTTCCTTGGTAGTATTTCTTATCTTCCAATTGCTTATAACTACAAAGTATAGAAAATGTTTATTATTCCCCTCAAACTTTACTTTGACCTATGCCTAAAGGTACTTGAAGGCTGCAAACTGCATCTACAACCGTGACAACGTTTCATGTCGGCCTCCTTCCAGTATCTTAAAGATGTCTTCCCTAAACTGACTGAGGCAAAGGTTATGGCAAAGTTTGAGAGGAATAGCCATTTTCTATACATTGGAGGAATAAGCAATCAGAAAATATTATTCAGGAACAAAAAAAAAAAAAATTATAGTAAGAAAAACCCACATTGTGTATTTGTGAAGATTAGACGTTGAGATGTACATCTCTTCCTAATCACACACTCAGACCTTGACAAAGCACTCAAGAAAGTACAAAAAGATTGGGTGTAAATTCTTAACATAAATTTCACAAATACAGTACACAAGTGTGGGATTTTATCCTATATTATTATGTCTGTGAGAAGACATTACCATTATTAATTTGTTATAGTGTTATGTGTACATATTTAAATGTACAGTAGTATGAAAGATATACAGAACATGGAAGTGATACGAGGAAAAGGGTTTATGATAGAATGAAGAAAAGGAATAGTTCCCAACCACTCGGACAGTCGGGGATTGAACGCCAGCCTGCAATAAACGAGACTGTCACACTACCCTCCAGGGGCCAGATTCACGAAAGAACTTATGCAAGCACTTACGAACGTGTACATCTTTCCTCAATCTTTGACGGCTTTGGTTACATTTATTAAACAGTTTACAAGCATGAAAACTTCCCAATCAACTGTTGTTATTGTTATAAACAGCTTCCTGGTGCTTCGGAGCTCATTAACTGTTTAATAATTGGAAACAAAGCCGCCAAAGATTGAGAAAAGATGTATAGGTTAGTAAGTGTTTGCGTAAGTGCTTTCGTGAATCTGGTCCCAGGCCAAGTGGGTGGGCACCAGGTAGAAACAGATAAGTGACATTTTTGTGTAACAACTAATGAATGCTTTCCATCTACTCCCTAGTATGTGCTGGTTCTCCATGATGCTATTTATGGTGGCGATGGGTGTCATTTTATATATCATTAACCATCTCCACTCCATGAAAGTGAGAAAGGCAGGTACTTGCATAATAGTCATAATGAGAATTGTTTAATTTGAATAACTCTTTTTATATTTGCTCATTACTACTAAAGTGCAGGTACTGAATAATGAAAACATCTCAATACAATGTTAAAAGTAATAATAAAATAGTGTTAAAAGTAACACTATTGTATGATTTGTAATATAACACTAAAATAATTGAAACTTACCAAGGCCCAAATGTGCCTGTCGTTTGCACTCTTCCTCTTCACATGATAGCAGGGAACTCAACTCCTCACATTCTTCTGCCAAAGCTTCACACTGAGAACAGATATCATCTATGGATGGTTCATCAACTCCTGAAGCCTCATCTGGAGAGCAGTGAGGCTCAGTGCTCTTCTCATCTAAGGTAGGTTCATTTAATGCAACCTCTGTCTCACTGGGAGTTGGGTTAGGTCTATCAGCTTCTGAATTTTCAGTTGGAATAAGGTTTTTACGTTCAAGCTCCTCAATCAGGCTAGGCTGGGGTGGTAGGGCAGAATCTGGACCATTTGGTCTGCCAGGACCAGATGGTGGATCTTCACTTAATGTATCTTGATCACTGTCTAGTGTAGACTCTTCACAAGTCCGGAACTGAGTGAGATGTGTAAACTGCTGTTGGTTAGTGGAAGGCTGGTTTGGCGTTTGAGCCGGAATGGTCTGTTGCTGCTCAAGTTGTTGCACAACCTGTGCCGTTTGAACTGCCACCCAACGCTCTATCATAGTTTTCTTGTGGTCGTCCATGAAACCATAACTAATAGGTGTTACCTGAGGTCCATCAACCCATGTCTCCGATTTATTGGTTTTAATCTTCTGTGCTGCAGTTACTCGTGACTTGTGCATACGTGGCCCATCAATCCACTGCTCATCAGACACTACTGCATCACTTGTTCCTTTTACAGAAAGGCGACTTTGTTGCTGCTGTTGCTGCTGCTGTAGTTGTTGCTGCTGCTGTTGCTGCTGTTGTAGTTGCTGTTGCTGCTGTTGTAGTTGCTGCTTTTGATGCTGTTGAAACTGTTGAATTTGTTGTTGAAGGTGCTGATGTTGCATTTGCTGTTGTATATTCTGAGGTTGTTGTTGAGATTGTTGGGATTGTTGCTGCTGCTGAAGTTTTTGATGGTATTGTTGTTGTTGTTGTTGCTGCTGTTGCAGCTGTTGTTGCTGCTGTTGCAGCTGTTGCTGCTGCTGTTGTTGCTGCTGCTGAAGTTGTTGAACTTTTTGTTGTTGCTGCTGCTGCTGTTGGAGTTGTTGCTGCTGTTGCAATTGCTGTTGTTGCAACTGCTGTTGTTCAAGTAGTTTTTTATGATGGAGCTGCTGAGTTGAGATAGGGAGACGGGATCGCTGAAATACCGGAACCAAGTTATTTGGCTCCTCATATGCGTTATAATTAAAGTGCCGGAGATCACCAGGCACTAAGGGGCCTAGGGTGACCTGAGGCTTAAAGGAGGATAAGAGAGGCTGCTGTCCACTAGTGCTGTTGTATGCAACATGGCTTACACCTGGCTGATGACGAATAAATCCACCCCCGGGAGAGACTTTTCCAGCAGTGGCTTGACTATTGACACTGCTTACTGTCCGTGGAGGTGGTCTAGGTTTAAGCTGTGATCGTCCATTGGGCACAGAACGTGATGTTGGTGTTGGGCTGGCAGAGGCTGCTCGACGACTGTGTGCAGGTGTTGGAGATGCTGAATGTGGCCTCAAGTGTTCCATTGACCGAAGTCGTGTAATTGGCCATAGCTGCTGGTTAGTGTGATGTGGCATGAAAACTGGCGGATGTTCATTATCAGTTGTATCACCTGGTCCACCACCCCCAATATAAATTACTGTATCACATGATTGTTCTGACGAAGAAAAATCCATGGATGATGACCCAGCAGAAGTGTCTCCACCTGAGGATCTACCATGAGAACCCTCCGAGCTGCCTCCAGAACCGGATCCCCCCAGACCCTGCAACAACATTTAGTATTCTTCAGTGATTTGTAAAGTCCTGTACAACAGTGGTGTTCTACCATGAGGGAAATCCTTCCATAATATCATAAT